CACTTTTTGCACATTTTAAACTGTACATTTTACCTTTATATATATATATATATATATATATATATATTTTCTTAATATATTATATGTTGTATGTATATCTGGAGTTTGTAATGAAAGTAATTTAATTTTTTTCATTGATTCTGATTCTGAAACAAACATTATTTTCTAATGGAACTTTTTATCTTCTATCTAAAAGCATTCATCTTACATTCACCAGTTCACACAGTATCAGCAGTTAGGTACCACTGCAGGTAGATTCACACAGTACTGTGCACCAAACCAATTTACAGCTATTTGTAAAAATTCCTTATCATTGCTATTCCACCATTCAAATTATATGTCACCCATGTATACAGTAAAATGTCTAAAAGGAATATCAACTCCAAATAGGGCACAATGAACACTGATTATACTTACATACATTTACTTAAACAACATTTCCAATGTAGGACTTTACTTGCAGCGAACTTACCAGTGTGGGTTTTTACATATAGGCTATGTAAAGGATGGGATTACCCCCTCCATCACTGCCCCAATGCAGCTGTAAGGACTGTGGGTACTCTGCAAAACGACCCTTCTACAAACAAGCCACATATTCTTAAATATCATCAGCCTTTCTTTTACTGAGCTGCCAGTGGGGAAAGCCACTTTTGCTTGGCAAGAATTCTTAAAACTAGCATAAAAATGTAGCCACTGAAATTAGCAAAAGTTCTTATAATAAGACACAATTTCTTCAAACAGCATCATAATAATAAGTGACTTTGTTTTAAATAAAGGCACCAGAAACATTATTATATTCAATTATATTATATAAAAACCCAACAGCTACTTTATTTCCAACACTGGGACAAGACTACTTTCTCTTAGACTGAGAAGAAGTGGGCTTCCTCTTAATAGAAGGGAAATGATGTAGTTCCTGTGCTGCCTGAGGGAGATGTACTCTGTGTGTCTTAACGAGCAAAGTCAACCCACAGAGTTAGCATGTTGGACCGGCAGTCGTAGTTAAAGCCCACCTGATACCGTGAGTCCGGGTCCGCCTGCTGCTGAAGCCTCTCTGGAGTCTCCACCTGTAGGAGAATAGCAGCGCCCCCCTGCGGTCGGTACGGGCTGAGGGGGTTTTCCGGTGTAGACAGTCGGCTCAGTGTCAGCCTCCACTGTGATTGGACCTTATTTTAGTGACGTCCTCGCGTTAACCGTATGATTGATAGAAAAGGCGTGGTCTAATGTCTATTTTAAGATATTTATTTAGTTTTTGTATTATATTTGAATTCATTCGTTTGTTTGTTTTTATTTTATTATTAGTGCAAGATGTGTGCTTGCTATTCAGACAAAAAGACTGACGAGACATGAAAAGACAACACAAACAATGAAAGCAACAAAAAAGGCAGTAAAGCTAAAAGAAAAAGTAAGTTGCTAAATACATACACACTTTTATATCTACTGTCTCATATTGCACATTGAACATTGATGTTCAGTCATTAATGTGTTAAACAGTATTATTAGTAAAAAATGTAAAATATGTTAATAATAGTATGTAAAATATGTTGTGTATGAAAAACTGTTTATCATGACCAGTTTAGGCTTCTCCTATATTCTGTATAATCATGATCATATATGTTTATTAGCACACATGGTGTGATAATACCTGTAACTAATGATGTATATGTTTCTCAAGGAAACAACTTTTACTTTGTTTAAGGGGAAACACTACAGGTGAATAGAATACAAAACGTAACTAATAGATATATCACTGATATTAAGCCAGTTCTAGTTTTGTATTACAAGTTTTCTGAAATTTTAGGTTTAAATGTGCAAATGAGGCATTATCTAATTAGAAAATGCAGATTTGCATACAAATTGTTTCCAGAATATAAATCTGAACATTGGTTAAAACCAGGTTCAAAATGTATCTTCTCTTATTCTGACATATTAAAATCAAGGGTTTTTACAGAGGGGCTGTTGGATATCTCTTTTTATCACTCCATTAATCAGAAAACACAGCCACAAAAATGCCTTTTCATGTTTTTAGGAATAAATGTGATATAAACCAGGCTGTAAATGATATATGAACAAAGCCCTCTGTAAAAAGCTTCAGAATATGGATAGGAATAAAACTAGAAGGTTTGGTGTGTGTAAGTGCTGCTGAAGAGAAGATTTCTGACTAAGAGTGTGACAAAAAAACTCATTTTGAGAAAACAGCCTTTAAAAATATGTACATACATGTAAGACACTACATGTGAACAGGGCAAAATTATTGACTGATAAACTTCCCCAGTTGATTACTTACGTTGAGACAATTCTTTATTTTTTAGGTTTAAATATGCAAATGAGGCATTATCTAATACAAACTTTTGGTGAAATCTACAGACACAAAAACACACAAAAAACAGCTAAATGTGTATTTTGGTTAGCTTTTTTCTCACTAGTGTGAAAGAAGACAAAATGTCAAAATAATCCAGTGCATGAAAAAGCTGTGCCTGTACTGTCTCACCTTTTATTTATTATTAATAGTTATTAATTATTATATAGAATACTCTGACTGTTTTGAAGGACAGGCTCATATTTCTACGGCCATTGTAATCGTCGTAGAAGTGATCCTATCTTAGGATGACTCCTATATGATAGGAAACAAAATCCAGTCCTTATTCTGTGGAAACATACATTCTCAAGTTCTCCACCAGATACACTGAAAAGCATTTGATTTGATTTGGCTCAATCCAATGAAGTTGATTAAAATGTGTATTATACATTGATTTCACACTGAAATACGTATCCCTTTTTTTAAAATTCCTTCATTTTCTACCTTTCTCTAGTATTATGCAAAGTATAATCTAAAATGACAGAATGAGGTGGTAAAACAATCAGTGAAACAATGACCAAGATTCAAAGATTCAATACTCTTTTTTTTTTTTTTTTAATTAAAGCCCATGATGGATAATGCTGGTGAGCTGAAATCCAGTCAGTGCTCAGTTTGCTTTAGATTTCACACATGAAGTAGTCTTCCACACATTGTTTTCAGTGGGAATAATACAGCTGTACTCACAGGTTCAAGTGTGTGCCTACTTTTTTGGAGGACCCTAATAATTATGATGAAATGTACAGACAACAAGACCACAGCAATTCAAAACATGAACAGGACTTTTCAACAAAAACACAAATGCTTTGAAGGCCCTTTAATTTAGTGTCAGTTTATGTCACGCTGTTACAAAATCTCTATAAATAATCTCATATTGGACATCTTGTCTTTCTGTGACTCTTCCACATGACCTGAGATTGAAATCACAGTACAGTCCAAGCCAACGCGGAGCAGTAGCATCAGCACAGTGTGTTGGCCTGTAGTGATTTTCCAAGGCCCGCTGCTCTTCAGTGTCTGTGTGTGACCCGCTGACCCTCAGTAAGGTTTCCCTCCGATGGCAGCGAGCAGCTCCTGCCTCTCTGCAGCAGTAGGCATGTCAGGTTTCACACCGTCTCTTCTCCTCTGCAGCATTATGTCGTGCTGCAAAGACACAAACACAAAAGGCTCCGTTAGACATACAATATACAATTTCTCATTTCTGCCGATACGGGGTCTCTCACATCAAAACGATAAGAGGACATTATATGAAATTGTGAAGTGCTGTAGGATCATGGGAGTTGTGGTCTTCACTACCATTGCAGTCAGCTTCTCCC